GTAAAAAAAAGAGAGAGAAATGGAATTCGGGGCCGTCATGAGGCTGGTACTTCATTTGTTCATCCATCAATGTCGATGAAGACCATGACTATCAAGAGATTATTAAGATTGATTTAAATGTGTCCTGAGGTGGCTGATGATTCTAATCTGGGCACGGATGTCTCTACCACAAATACGGCGTGTAAGACCAGTGTTTGCTGCGGTGGAGGCGCTGACAGCTCTGGCTTTTTCGTGTCTCATGCATACTTTCGGCCTCGGCTATGCGTCAATTTTTCTGCAGCACCTGTTCCTTTGAGGATTGGGCTGCGCCATGCTGTGCGATCAGATGCCAGGCTTTCCCTGATGCCGGCGGAGATTCCTAGGCTTTTCATGGAGGTTTAGTGAAAAGCCATGGACATGGACTGTCCTTAAAGCGCATCCTGGGTCTCCCAACTGGGTGCTTTCCCTCTGCCGGTTCACCGTACAAGAGCTTCTTGGGAAGACGCTCATTGTCCATGTGTAGGACATGTCCAGCCCATCTGGCCCGAGTCTTCTGCAGCAGGGTGTGAATGTTGTGCTGACCTGTGCCTGTCCAGACCCTTGTGTCAGGGATCTTATCATGCCACCTGATTTTCAGCACTTTGCGTAGGCACGTCATGTGGACGTGATTCAATTGTCTGACGTGTCTGCTGTAGATGGTCCATCGTTTGCATGCATAAAGTAGCATTGGTAGTACTATAGCCTGGTAGACTTTCAGCTTTGTGTTGAGACTAATACTTGTACATTCCCAGAAGTTGGCTTGCAACCTGCACTGCTGGCCTTAGCAATTCTGCAGTTAATTTCTTCATCTATGTTCACATGCCTGGATAGATTCCTGCCCAGATAGGTGAAGCTATCTAAGGCGTTGAGTGTCAATCCCTTGGCTGTGATGCAGGGTTTCTGATGGGGCTTACCGGGAGGCAGGCTGGTACATCGCTTCTGTCTTTTTGTGTGCTGATTGTGAGACCGAAGTTGTTGCATGCTGCATAGGACCTGTCCATGCTGGCTTGCATGTCCTGCTCGCTGGCGGCATTGAGTGTGCAGTCATCGACAAAAAGGAAGTCCCCGATGACCATCTCCTTCACCCTGTCCTGTATCTGATGTGGGTGCCTTCCTCACTGTTGCGAAAAGCGTCTAACTGCATGGCTGAGAACATCATGCTGAACAGTGCTGGGGCGAGCACACACTCCTGTTTTACTCCGTTTGTCACAGGGAATACGTCTGCGATCTCACCGTCATCCAGCAGACGGCGGGTACTTATGTGCAGAAAAAAGACTGTCTAGCTCAGCACGGGAATGTGAAGAGGGCAAATAGCGCTAGGTCAAATCTGGGCGAGGCGGGGAAAAAAAACAACAAAAATCCCATCAAAGCAGAGCCTAGGCTGTCGATAGAAAAGGGGGAATAGAATAATAAACGAAATTGACTTGGATCACCAAAAGGTTATCCGGTCAGAGCAGCAAAACCCTGGAAAACCACGAGCCCCTGAGAATGTGATGGTTACCCAGGGCAACCGCTAACCTGAAGGAGGCTGCCCTGACAATTTCCTAATCGTTACTGTATATCAAGAATCACTAAAGACAATGTTTTTTTAAGACCAGTTAATATCATATAGTCTTAGTGGTTTTGAAGAGGATGATAAAAAGATGTTTTCAATAATTATCTGCAAGTGGTTTTCAGAGTACACTGGTAGATTTTTACTGTATAATGCAAGTGGGGATGTCTCTGTACTTTTAAGCGAAAGGGTGTGGGTTCAATTCCCAAACCGAGCAGTACTATTGTAACTGTAGGGTTCGTGCGATGGCGGTTAAACGCTTTGCCTGAAAGGATGGACTTTGGAATAGAGACAGATATTCTCTGTAGACAGCTTATTTTTTTAACAGTCTCGTTTACACTTGCTGCACTCTCTCTCTCTCTTCCTGATCTTCCTTTTTTCCTGGTCATGTTATTTCACATAATAATCAGGAAACACAGAAAGTTATATGAATTTACACCTATCAACAGACTGACACAGTGAATTCTATAACTCAAAACATTTTAAACTGTGTAGCTGAATAAAACAGCAATGACATACTGTAGGACACAAGTTTACATTTTTATTACTGCAATGTACTTCACTCAGCATTCAGTATAATAATTAATCATCTTTATATTTTATTATTGAATATTTAAATATAATTATTTAATAATAATAGTAATTTTTAGCTATTTTTAACGCACTCTACTATCTGTTTGACCTGATGTAAATCTTGTATTCCTTTGTATAAATTTAGAATACTTCTAAATATTGTACAGGTATGATAGTTCTGTCCATGTGGAGCTTGTTTTTGAAATTACAATGCTCATGGAGCACAAGCAAATATATACTGTATATATTCTATGCAATTTAATTTTGGTTCTTAACTGCAAATATTTTAAGTTATTGACATTTCCCCTAACAGGTATACAGTAGGTAGATGTGAAAAAGATGGTAAAATGAAAAGACATAATGATGACTGAAAAGACATTCCTGGCAGTACTCCTGAATGTTTTTTTTTTTTACTGCCTTTATCAGTAATATTCTCTGGTTCCTTTTTTATTTAAACACAAACGCTTTCTTCCCACTTACAAAAATACAGAACTACAAGTGCAAAAGCTGAAACATTAGAAATGTCAGGGGACAAAAAGATGTACTGTACCCTCCAACGTGCCTATCAACAGAAACCATGCAGATGAGACTTGAACCCACAACCCACTAGTCGTGACTCAAGAGATTTACTGACTATGCTATGCCACCCTCAAAATATAAGGAAAAATATAAAGCAAATTGCATTAAAAATGTTTTTTGAATTCCAAGATTCCCCAGTTCTAAGATCCACAGTTCTGCTGACCAATCCCAATATGGGCATGATAGCTATGGGTAGCTTTGATTTGACTTCGAAAGCTGCAATTACAAGTGGTAACTTAGTTCTGACCTTAGTAGTGATGTGATTGGACGATATGTTAATTACTATTCATACCCAGAATTCAACTTAAAACAAATCTCTAATCAAATCTACATACTGTATTCCAGAAAGCGTGGAAAGCAAGCTGCAGGACTGGTGATCACAGCTTTATGGTGAGTATGTGACTGAAATTCATGAGATGATTCTCCTACCGTGTACATTTACTATCAGTATGCAGTACAACATAGTAATTGAGTGACTAGAAGGACAAGACCTGGTGTTACTGTAGATCATTTGGATATGGCCTATGAATCTCTCCAGGAGGATGTAGTAAAAATTGGAAACTTTTCTTTAGGAAAAGAAATCACAACACAAGAGAAGTTGCTTCGTTAAAGACTTCCAGGCAACAGCCACAAATTGTCATCCCAATAATAAGAATTCCTTACACTTATATAGCGCTTTTCTCTACACTCTGCTCAAAGCTCTTTACAGGTAATGGGGATCTCCTCCACCCCCACCAGTGTGCAGCCCCACCTGGATGATGCTCCAGTACTCTCCCCACACACCAGGTATCAGTGGGGAGGAGAGCAGAGTGATGAAGCCAGTTCAGAGAGAGGGATCTAAATGGGCCACATTAAATTATCACGGACTCATCTCCTTATAAATCCTCTCTACTCATTTTCAGATTTTCTCACCTGTTCTGCTGTCCTTCATGAGTTTGGATACTCCTTCTCAACTGCTCCTCCCTGCCCCTTACCCCTTCTTAATTGTCTTCTCCCAAGCCTTATTTTTCTGCTCCTTCCCCTCTCTCCTTCACAATTGCAAAAGGCTCCACACCCGAAACATTGTGTTTCTTTTTCTTACCTTTCAGCATGGGTGACCCTTCACATGTTCTTTTACATTCAATTATTTTTAGTGGTGTCGGACTCATGTGCTTTTCTCTGTTTTCGGTTCTGAGTTTACCACTGTTAACATTCTCAGAGCTGTTACTTTTCTTCTTCCTTTTAATTTTAAATGTGTGGTCCAGCTATTTTGTTGTTGCATAAAGTATGATAATGTTCTCCCGCAATGTTGTTTTGAGTCGTGATTCAAGTGTGAATTATTAACTTCATTAACCCAGCAGATTACCTGCCTTTGATAACAACTGGACTGGGACAAAAGGGTTTAGTAAAAACGATCAAGAGCAGCCATCGACACCTTTGTACAGTATGTGTTTTTGTACAGAGGTTTGGTAGGGGGTGTAGTTTAAAACTTGCCCATTTCTGTTCTCCACTGCCTGAATATCTCTAATTATCTTGCCCTGTCTGGGGATCTTTTCTCTCCCCCCTCCATCCAGCTCATCTTCACCTTTGCAGCTGCTCCCTGGCTCATTCCTTGTGAAACAAGAGGGAGTTATTCACAGTAAAGCTGTCATTTTCTCAGCCTGGCTTCTTACATTAAATAAACTGTGTATTTCCTCTCCATGGTGCATTAACTAGGATTTGACTGAGCTACTGAAATTGATATTTGGAAGCTGTGATTTAACTTGAGTCTAAGGCTGCTGACTAACTTGAGTCTACCCCTCCCTACACTTCACAAACTTTTCTTATTGGTCACTTCATAATGTTAAATTATAAACTATATAATATCACAGCAATTATTATTTTAAGTATTTTTTCCAGAAAAGACTAAATGCAATGTCATTTTCATTTATGAGCTGAGCTCCATTTTTTACACACTGCATTTCTAAAAGTTGCCTTGCAAGGCAACTGACCAAAAATTATGAATTATTCAAATAAGGCTTAAAGGTTCATTTACATTTAAAGAAAACATATTCTGCTCCAGTAGAGTAAGTGCCATATGGAAATAGAAAATAAGGAAATAAAGAAAGTTACTCAATCAGTCAAAAGAAGAAGCATTTGACCAATTTATTAAAAATCCATAATATTTTTTCTCATATACTGTATGTCCTATATTAGAAATGCAACAAGTAAAAATGAGTTTTGGAACCATATTGTTAGAAGGAAAAGGTATAATAGTACACAAAAACTGATTACAATGAGATTTGCATTTATAACTTCTATGAATCCCTGTTTAGACAGTTATTAAAGTGTTTAGACAGTTATTTGGTATCGAAGAATTATAGATGAAAAAGTTTTAACAATGACTATTAAATAAAGAAAATCAAAAAGGCACCTTTACCTGCTACTGGCCAGAGAAAGAGCAGACAGGTGAAAAGGACCAGCTCCATTTTTCTTTGCACCTTCAGACGGCTGTGACTCTGAATAAACGGAATAAAGTGCCAGTGTCGGTCAAAGTACAGTTTCTAAACCACACTTTCAATATGACATTGAGAATTGGCAAATAATGAACTTGTCCTCCCCCAAAAAATCATTTTTCATTTGATGAAACCACACACTGACGTGTGCAAAATAAAATTGCTTAGTTGATATTTATAAACAGGAAATAGGATTGCAACACTTTTTTTGAAAATAATACCAAAAATAATTATATTCTTTAGCCTGCTCCAGAGCTGAATAAAATCAACGTTTGTCTCAATATACTTGCTGGGTATCCCCAAATGCAGCAAATCTGAAGATCTGTTTCAGACGCTGAAAAATTTCAATGAGAAAAATTCTAATGACATTATTTCAGGGGATCTAATCACCAGTAGTAAAGGAGGCAAGAAAACAGGACACTAATGGCAATCCCCAAACTTATTTAGGCGTGGGACAAGTTTATCATGAGACGGTCTCTTGCCTGTACTTGTGTGGAACAATACTGCCCCTTTGTGTCTTTGCATGAACATTGCATGAATATGTTTGTTCTCCACTGAGTCCCAACAAGTTGTCAAAATTGCTTTCTGATTGTTCTACAAAAACAAAATAGAAACAGTTGATATGGATTGCTTCATTCCAATAAAAAGATGCTTTTACGTGTACTCGTACACCCGAAGAAGGCTCCACAGCCGAAACGTTGTGTTTTCTTTCTTCTCTTTTCAGTGTGGAGTAAACCTATTACTTGTTCCTTTGCACATGCTGACTACACATGCTGATGCAGCTCTCCACCTGAACTACATTTACTGACTTGCAATTTTGTAACTCTGGCTTTTCGGTGATGGACACAGTTACAATAAAAGCTTTATTCAAATATACTGTACATTTCTTTGATATATTTTAAACTTAATAATTTGCATCAGGCAAACCTTAGCTCAGTTTAATTCATTCACAGGTTAAACTCTTCCACTTGCTCTGGATTACAGCAATAATTAATTGCCACTCGTACAGCATCCTCAGATTTGGAAAGGTGCTTTATAAATAAGTTTTATTATTCTAAATGAATATGAATCATATTATGAATGAATTCAACAAAGTATTACTAAATTCAACAAAGTATTACTAAAGACCAACAGTCAAGTATTATAAAAGCATTTAGAATATTTAGTAGAGACTCACTCATTATTAGCTATACAGTAATTGATCTTCTAAATCAGTGGTTCTCAAACTTTTTGGACCAAGTACCACCCCTGATCAAACCAAAGCATCCACATACCACCTCCAAGTCATCTTCTCATAGAAACCACAGAAAACCTCAATGACCAACATGAGCATGCGTGCACACACACTCACATACACATATAATAAATATTATAATAATAAACTTTATTTGATATAGCGCCTTTAAAGGTGGCTTCTCAAAGCACTTTACAGAAAAAAAAAACAGGAACAACTGTCACGGACGTCCAAAGGGACTAACCGTGGGGAGCAGGAGAGCGGAAAAAAACCCATATGCGTAGCGGCGAGACAGGAAAAAGGCCAGGGTTCATAGTGCAAAGAGTTCAGGAATGCCGTATACAAACCTATGCCCTCAGGGAGCGGATGTGGGGCGCCCTGGTGCTAGGCAGGTCTCAGGACATCCGAACGTCAATGCTGAGCGAGGACAGAGTGCAAGACCCGGAAATATATAGCCCAAGGGAAAGAGAGGGACCGGAAGGACAGCAGACCGGAAACTAGGGACAGGACAGAGAAGGAGCGCCCTCTGGCTGCAGAGGGCATGACAACAACAACAAATAAAAATAAACAATAAAAAAGCACCATTTCAGTGAGAGGGGTTTGCCTGCTTAGTCGAGCAAAGCAGATGTGAATTCATTTTTCGAGCCTTGATACAATTCACAACAGAGCCTTACATAATTTTAAATCGTCAGGCATTTTCTTCATGGCAAAGGTCTCACGGTGGATGTTGCATTGCATCCATACATTTCTGGAGCAACCTCTCTAATTCGTGCAACTACACCGCTGTGTCGGCTTGTCATTGCTCTAGCACCGTCTGTACAAACTCAGACGCATTTTATCCAGTCAATGCCATTCTCTTCAATAAATTCATTCAGAAGCTGAAATATGTACTCTCCTGTAGTTCCTGTTGGTAGCGGCTTACCGAACAGAAAGTACTCATGGGACATACCCTCAAACTAGTATCCAACGTAAATGAGCAAACTGGCCAAATCAACTACAGACTCATCTAATTGCAGTGAAAAGCATCTGCTCATCTTAACACGCTCTACCAGCGTACTTTTGATATCATCCGCCATTTCAATAATTCTATAAGTGACTGTGTCTTTCAGAGGGGGCAGCAGGTCGAGCTGTTTAGCAGCTTTTTCTCCACACATAATACGTGTCAGCTCTTTTGCCAATGGTAAACAAGGTTCTTCAAAAATAGTGAGGGGCTTACCTGCTTTAGCAATCCGCAAGCTTGCATTTTTCCCTGTTTCCGTTTCAGGAGTCTGTCTCAGAAGTTAAAAGAAGTTTTTATTTCATGCGCATGGGAGCGAAACACAGGGACGCTCTGTGTATTTTTCTCAAAAGTAGCCTAGAACAGTTCTTAAATATTTTTCTGTTATCTACTGTCTCACGCTTTCCTGTGCTCACAAGATTACCAGCGTTCGTAGCACACATTTCTATGCTTTCCCGTGCTTACAAGATTGGCGGTGTTCCAAAATCACACACATTCTCCTACCTCCCTATTTGCTGGAGATAGCTTTTTTAAATACAATTGGTCACTTACGTTCGTAGCACGCATTCCTATAGAATGGAGTAGAATTACATTGTAGCTCTGTGTCCACTCAAGTATTAGCGCACGCTGTATCGTAGTACGTGGGCTGCGTATTGGACACGTATTAAAATAGAAAATATGAAAACCCGTCCCGATTTTCAGCACACACAACACAGTTCCAGGGTCATATGGTATACCAGCTGGCGGCGCTCTGCGTACCACTTCTGGTACGTGTACCACAGTTTGAGAACCACTGATCGAAACCATTTTTTTTACAGCTTTGAAAGTCATGCAATGTTTGAGTTAGGCAGGAACACGTCATTGTATCTTTTTTTTTTTAGTTTTTAAAAATGAAAAAAATCATTTGCCCATCGTGTTGATAAGCTGTTCCCCAATTACTGACAATTGTAAAAAAATAATCCTTCCCCCCTCCCTCGTTTAATTTAAAGATTTCCACGAAGAAATCCTTAAACACAAAACCATCACATATAATAATTCATCCAGCTGGTTCCCTGTTAAATGACGCTGATGGACCAGGTTCAGTTCTATATAGTACCATATAGAGTAGTTTAAACCCTTTTTTTAAATTCCAAGTTAAATTGTTGGCTGATTACTGGCTGCTGACATTTGGATTATGACTAAATCTAGATTTTTCTAAATTCGGATGTAAACCTGAAAGAGATACATCATGTTCAAAATAAGATATAATAGTGGACTATTTTTATGCATTCGGCTATATGAGAAACAAACCGAAGTAATGCTCTTATCACGTTTTGAACTGCCTGGGTGCAGCTCGCTAAATTACAGTGCTCATTACCACTACAAGGACAATAGAAGTTTTTTTAAAAAAAGAAACAAATGTCAAAATGTTTCCAAAATGTCCAATTGTGATACTTTAGCTGCTTAGTTACACAATTCCATATTAATATAACTATCAAGTGATGTTAAATCACTACAACATTTTTCTTTTTACAGTAACAGCAAGTGGTGTTCTTACTACGTATTCTTAGAAAAGGATAAAACATTATAACTTTTTATGGAGTACAGAATATAAGCATAATAATGTTAGAAGAAGCACGTTAAAACCAGAACCCACTGTAAGTTACCAAGTTAAAGACTTTTGATGCATAAAATATTAAGCATAATTAATTTATTTATGATGAAGGTGGAAGGTTATGTACTTTTGTCCAACTGAGAAATCTTGCCTTTATAAAATACACTGACTTTTTAATGTTTAACATGCTGTAATACACGGTTTAAAATACTTAAAAGTTTAAAGAGTAACCAACTTAAATTCTTAATTGGAAAAAGATTGTCCCTCAGCAGTGACCGGGATGTGAAACCGGGCGTTTTTCTGGCGACAGCTCCAATTCTGTACATGAGACATTAAGCTTTATTAGCTCCACCTGGTGGTTTTACAAGGTGATTCCGGATACTATTATCCTAAAAAAACATGCAGTATGATGCGGTACATTGCGCCACGTCCACCACGATTTAAGGCAGCATACCTCGCGCACTTTGAATAGCTGGATCTGTATATATATAAATAGAGGTTTGAATGAAAAATGGTATTGGTGTAGAGTAATGGTATCAGAGAACAGAGAGCACCTTAATTAGCAGCTCTAACACGTACTTAGATGTACAGAAAAGAGATGAACAAGATGGCGCCGATCTCACTTGCTACGCCAGTGATCACTGGTGCGTTCTGGGACTCACTGCTTTTACCTGAAATGACAGGCATTATTTTCCTATCAAGAATGAATACATGTATGGTAGCTCTGGGAGAGCATGGGTAAGAAAGGCACAGGATGATTAAAAATGTTCATTTGCAGAGTTTAAAATGAATCTTATTTATGCAAACTAACATTTCAAAGTAAAGCCCTGGGGCTTTATTTTATTATTTTCTTATCCTCCATTTTTTGTGATGGAACTGAAGTTTTCATACTTTTTCATTGCATCTCTTAGAAATACAGGTAAGTGGGGGAAAATATGAAAACAAAACAACAGAAGCATTTTTGCTGAGTGAAAAACAGACTTTGAAACCCAAGATAAAAGTTCGCTTTCATCTTGGGTTTCATCATTTATTCATGGTAAGTGATTTTGATGTTTTTTGTAACCTTTCACATTTAAATAGATCATACCGTAAGCTGATGTTTACAGTTGCAATCTGCTGTTGCACTGCAATTTCCCTCACAGGATCAATAAAGTATCTATCTGATCAGACTCAAAGTGAATTATCTTATTTTTGCCATACTTACAGACATCTTTTAAAGCCAACGAATGAGACTCTTTGCTGACTTTGTTGCTCGCCTTGCACACAATACTGCTGTTCTCTACAGTGACAACGATCTCCAGGTTATCCGACTCTATGTAGTCTCTTCTAACGTCAGTGCATAGCGTCTGCTGGCAGTTGTAGGACACAGAATTGTCTTGACAGACAGTGCATGTAGCAGAGATGTTGCAGAGCTCTTCACTGGCTGAAGCTGACTTCACCTTTACTTCTGGTTTAATCACAGAATCTACAATGCAACAAGTGGTTGATTAATAAGATACTATGAGTACATTGGTTTGCTTTGAATGCTTTCATTGCTGGGTGACCTGACCACTTGCTGATCAATGCCATGACCCCAGTACCAGCACAGGTAGAATAGGGACTGTGAACGCTGTTTTACATCACACCCACTTGAGTCTGATAGTCTCACTCTCTGCAAGACTCAGACTCCTACTGTATTAGTATCCATTTAAAAGAACAGCTGCTTGCAATGGTGTCTCACACTAACACAAGCTCATGGC